GGGTTAATGCAGCGTCCCAAGCAGGATGAATAGGACGGGCAGAGGAACATTCCCTATTCCCAGGGTTCCATAATCTGATTTTTGGGGTTAATTCCGGCCCTTTTGTCCCTGCAGCGTCGCAGGCCCTGGGCCGCCGTTACCCCTGCCTGAGGATCCGGCCCCTGATCCACGCCTCCAAGCAGGCCAAGCTCAAGGCGCTCCAGAGACCAAGTAAGCTCCCAAATTCCCAAAATTCCCAAATTCCCAAATTTCCAAATTCCCAAATTCCCCAAATTCCCCCCAGTTTTCTTGGATTTCCCGCTCCCGACTGCTCCAGGTGACAAATTCCTATCCAGGACCAGTTGTTTGTCCGGTTGGGGTTTGGATGGATTCCTGGCACTGAGCTGTGCTGTGGAATTTCGCTGGAATTCAGATTTAATTTTATTTTTTATTTTTTTGGTGTAATTTGCTGCTCTTTCGGGCAGTTGGAAGGGAAGGGTTGTGCTGGAATTGGGATTTTTTTTGGGAGGCAAAGCATCCGATTCCCCAGGAATTTTCTTCTTCCCTCTCCCCCTGGCAATCCAAAGGAGACAAACCCAATCTTGTGGTTGGATAATTTTATTCAGGAAGGAGAAATGGTGAAGCTGAGCCATGAACATCAGTGGATTGATTACCATTGATTGATGATTGATTGATTGATTGATTGATTGATTGATTGATTTCATTGCCTTTCAATCAGATTGATCAGGTCCAGTTGCCACAGGAAAGCAAAGCAGCAGCAGAGACTCTGAACCAACAATTCCTGGGATTTTCCAGCTCACTGCAGTCAGAATAAATTCCAATTTTAATGCTTTAAAGGGACACTGTCACAGCGACCAATTCCTGAGTTTCAGCACTGCTGCATTTAAAGGAAACATCCAAAAATTTGCTTTATTTGCATCTCCCCTTCATCTGTTTTTTCATTTATCCACTATTCTGAATCACGTTAAATGAAAATAAAATTATTTTAAATTAATTATTAATTTATTAATAATTAAATAGAATAATTAAACATAAATCCTGTTGGTATCCAGTTTCAATTGATTATTTTCCAAACGCAAATTTGGATTTGAATTAGCTGACAGTGTCTCTTTTTAATTTTTTTTAAATTATGTTTTGTTTTTCTTTAATGAATGAAACTTCTGGAAAAACAAAGTCCCCCCTTGCTGTGTAGATAACAACTTCAAATTGATGAATAATTGATTAATTAATCCCCAAATTATTGTGAGCTTGGTGAAATTTTGGTGGATTTCCTTGCAGATGGAATTGCAGCAATCCAGAAAAAAATGGAAGGCACTGACCAAGGGGCTTCCCAAATAATCTGAAATATTTAGATATAATTTAAAATGCAGAAATTTATTTTTTTTTTAATTTTCCTTGCTGTTTTCCAAGGATTTTGGCAGCTGGTTTTGAGGCATTTCAGTTGGATAAATGGATAAATTGCCTGGGTTTGCATGGAAAGGGATGGGATGCTGGGAATTTTGCCAATTCACAGGGATGGGACGTTGGGAATTTGACCAGGAAGAATTCCTGGATTTTTCCACACAGCAGAAGAACCCTCAACCTTTATGGTGACCAAACAATCCCACTGAAAACCGTGGAATTCCATCCTAAAAAAAAAATAAAAAACCAATTTATCCGCTGAGACGGAAAGATTTGATGTCGATAAACGAATAAAACAGCGGGGAAAAAAAAGCTGATTTTTTTGGGATTTAACCACGAATTTCTCCTTGACCAAGGCGTAGCTGGGTAAGTTTTTTCCCATTTTTCCCAATTTTTTCCCTAGAATTGCTGCAGCTGGGGAAGGAGAGGCCGCAGACGGACACGGCGGTGGCCAGGAGACTCGTGTCCCACGCCCTGGGCTGGAGGCACAGGCAGCACGAGCCCACAGGGACTGAAGTTTTCCAGCCAGAATCCTTGGATCAGGAGGAATAATTCCCAAAAAAACCCCAAAAAAACCCCCCAAAAAAAGGCTGTAAAGATGAGCATGGCTGTGCTATTAAATGCATGCAGAGCAGGCAGCGCCACGGGGGTGTTCCTTTATGGATCAGCTTGGGAAAGTTGGGAATGGGAATTCTTGTTGGGTTGTTTTTGTTTTTGGAGCCCTGGGAAGCGCTGGAATTCTTTGTTCGCCTGCAGGAACGAGGTGGTTTCTTTATTCCTTATTCCTGCTCAGTTTTCCAACAAAAAGTAGGCATTAAGAGTAAGAAAATCTGAATTATTGGGGGGCCAAAATTCAACTCTAAACAAGGGCGGGAGTTCAAAAATCTGTTCCACGTTTGTTGTAATGTTGCTGTTCAGGTATCCCAGAAAACTGACAGGCAGTGAATTCAAGTTTTAGGGAATTCTTTCCTTATTTATAGAGTTTCAAGAGCCTGAACTTCCCTGTTGGTGAGGAAAGTTGGGATCTGCTCATTAGGGAAAAAAAACCTCCAGAATTTGCCTGTGTTGATGTGCCCAGAGCTGGGTTTAAAATGAGCTTTTCACCCCCATGCCAAGCTCTGCTGGTGCTCCAGTCTGGAATTCTGAGGGAGAACTGGAATTTTCCAATTGCCAGGAGGTTAAAACCCTTTGCCAGCTGGAGAAATGACAAATGCTCAAAATATTTCTGCATTTTTAAGCCTCACAAACATCCCTGTGAGCTGGGGTTTGGGGGAAGTTTGCAGCCAGTTGGAATCCCTGTGGAATCAGCTGGAATTCCAGGTAATTTTGATTGTAGGAGAGGCAGAAAACCCCCAAACTTCCAGGAATTCTGAGGAGAAATACACCAAGGCCTTCTAAAGTGATTTTTTTCTTTTTCCAGGGAAAAGGTTTTTATTGGAGCTCTGTAGCAAAGTGTGTCCTCAAACAAACAGAGGAGAACTGGGAATTCCCACAGAGGCAGAAATTCCCTCTGCGAGGTGCACCAGGATAATTCATCCTTGGAAAAAAAAAGATGGAATATCCAGGCAGGAGGGATGGGCACAGCAGCTGGTGGCTGGAGGATCCCTGTGGGATGGGAATTCCCAACCCAGAGGCCTCATCCTTGGGAATCTGCAGAGTTCTGGGTGCTGAGGGGTTGCTTCAGGGAGCTTTGATTCCCTGTGAGATTCCCTGTGAAATTCCACGTGAAATTCCCTGTGAAATTTCCACATTCTGCCGTTTGCTCCCCTCCGGAGCGTTGGATCCAAGTGTTTCACTGCAGTATTAAATTCAGCTTTACACTGTTCTGCTCACAAAAAGCTGCTCCTTTTTTCCTTTTTTTTTAAAAAAAAACCCCAAAAATTTCCTTTTATTTCCTTGCTAAACGGAGTCAGTGCTGAGGAGGAGTGCAGGAAGCAGCAGCACAAACGGGAGTGGAAAAGAGCTGAAAATTCCCAAATAATGCCTTGGAAATGAAGGATGAAGGCACTTCGGGGTGGTTGGCACCCAACCTGAGGAGAGGAGTGCTGCAAAATGTGGGAGGAATCTTTGGAATGGTGGAGAGCTGGAGCTGAGGAGAGCTGGAATTGCAGGAGGCACCGAGGGGTGGCCTGAGCACCTAAACTGGGGAGGGAGAGGCTTCTTCAGGAATGATTCACCCGGAATTCAGAGTTTTGGTGGAGGCTGGATTTCCTGGGGTGCAGTGGTTCGGGAAGGGCCGGAGCAGGAGTCCTGGCTTCCTTAAATTAGTGGGAATTCTACCGGGCAGACACGTTGTTATTTGTGAGTCCCCTGAAGTGGTCGAACTTCTGCTCCGTCTCCTCGCTGAAGGAACCACCTGGAGAGGCCACGGGAG